GAAGAGCGGCGGCACCAGGAGCTGCTGCACAAGAAGAAGGAGGAGGAGCAGGAGCGGCTGCGGAAGGCGGCCGAGGCCAAGAGGCTGGCGGAGCAGCGTGAGCAGGAGCGGCAGCTGGCGGAGCAGCGTGAGCAGGAGCGGCTGCAGGCCGAGAGGTGAGGGCCCCTCGGGCCAGGCTGAGGCACCCCCTGCACCTGCGTGCATTGTGGAGGGGACGTGGAGCCGTCCCCCGCAGGCAGCTCCCACCTTCACTCACGGGTTTGCAGACGAGCGACAGGCTCCTCCTCTCGGCTCCAGTCCCAGAGGCCCTCAGCGGGCAGAGCATCTGAATGTGGTGCATTGGCTCCTGGAGATTGAAGGGGTCATGGCGGGGTCACTTGAGATTTTCTCTTGGTTCCGCCTCTAGCCGGGTGTGCCGACCCTTGGCCTTGGGTTTGTTTTGTCCTCAGCTGACACAGGTTGCGGGGACGGGCATAGGATGAGCCAGTGTTTCTCAGCAGGAGCCCCTGTTGGCATGTGGGCATTTGGGCAGCAGTGCTTTATGGGGCGAGCAGGACCTTCAACGTCCTTGGCCCCTGCCCATTAAATGTGCCTCCCTGTGATGATGAGAAGTCGGGTCTGCCCCTCCACCCCCAACATTTCCATGGCAGGCAAGCCCTGAGGTCTTCCACCTCTCAGAGTCCTGTGCAGCAGGCAAGGCTCCCGTGTTTAGTTCTCCAAGCCTGTATCCGGGGCCTTCCATGCACTTGGTTGTGTGGCATCCTGGGGATGTCAGGGAGGACAAGCCACAGTCACTGTCGGCCAGGATAGGTGGGGTCCATGCCTGTGAGAGTAGACAAACTCGCTTGTGTATAGATGTACAGACGTAGAGAACGGTGCCCGTGTGTGTGTACAGGCAGGCGGGTGTACCCAGACTCAGGCCTAGCGACTGCCTCTCTCCTGCCTCCACCTCCTGGGAAATATCGAGCCGTCTGCAGGTGGCTGCGGGCCCATTGGAGAAGTGAGGAGTCGCGGCCAGAGGGCTGGACTGCATCGGGACCACCTCCCCTTGCTTATTGATGGACACAAAGGTGTCCCTACTCCTGTGGCAGAGTCAGAGACTAGTCTGGGAGTAGGACAGAGGGTGGGTGGCAGCTGATGTGGTTTTAGAATTGCATGTGTGCCGGGCAGTACCAGGGGTTTCCAGGGGTGACGGTCTGATGGTCATAATGGTCGGCAGCTTTGGTGGGCACCGAACTATGTGTTTTCCACACGTTTCGTTGTTTAATCCTAACTCGAAGGCCCATGTGGCATAGGAACCAGCAGCTGCACTTCCCAGAGGTGCAGAGCGGTTAAATGACTTGTTTAAGTCACGAGCTAGTAAGTGGAGGTGGCTCCAAAGCCCTGCTTCCCCCTGCTTCACACCCAGTGTCCACCCTGTGGGTCCGGACGATCGGAGGTAACTCGGATTATCTCATCTGATTCTCGCGACTCTGGAGGAAAGGTGTTGTCCCCACTGTCCCGCAGATGAGGCTGAGGCTGAGCCCTAGGTCGTGTGGAAGCCTGGGGGCCAGACGTGGGCTCCAAAGCAGAGCGCTCCCTGCACCCTCTGTGCACACAAGCGTAGCTGTGGGCTCTGAGCGGCTATGCCCATCCTGCTGCTTCTCCCATGGCGAGTGCCGATGGGCCTAGCTTCCCGGGCAGGGACGGGAAGAGGGCCAGGGCTCAGCTCCCTGCCCTGACAGGCTCTTGCTCTGTCCTCAGGGAGCTGCAGGAGAGGGAGAAGGCCCTTCGGCTCCAGAGGGAGAAGCTGCAGAGAGAACTGGAGGAGAAGAAGAAGAAGGTACGGGGGGCGGGGCGTGTGGGGCCCGCATGGGATCAGAGCTGAGCTTTGGGCTGAGGAAGGCCTGATCTAGCGGCCCCTGGGGCACAAGCTTCCTTGCCTGCCTGGCCTTGTGGGGCTGGCATGGGGGACGGGGAGCACGTACACATGGTCTCTCACGTCCGGCTGGCCTCTGGTCCCAGGAAGAGCAGCAGCGCCTGGCTGAGCAGCAGCGGCTGCAGGAGGAGCAGAAGAAAGCCACGGAGGCTGCAGCGGCCAGCAAAAGCTTGAACGTGACCGTGGATGTTCAGGTGAGGCTCAGGCACCAGAGCAGAGAGATGCCCCCAGCTCTTCTCAGGAGCTGGAGGCGTATATTAGGTCATATATTAGGACCAGAAGAAAGAGGAAGAATACAGTCAGACCCATAGTTTTTCTTACTTTTGATAACATATGTTCTTTCTTGTTCTAAAAATAGAATTTGTTGTTTAAAAAGAAACAAAACTTTATAGATGAGTACAATGTAAAAGTGCTCTCAGAAGAAAACTTTAAATCTGGTGTACATTTTTAAATATTTTTAGACATATAAACGTTGTATTCACTTACACACAGACATACCCAGAGTTTTAAATGGGCACAGGCTGTACATACTATCCTAGTCTGTTCAGGCTGCTTTCACAAACTGCCGTAGACTGGTGGCGTAAACAACCATTTATTTGAGACCGGGAAGTCCAAGGTCAAGGCGCCAGCGGATCGTCTGTTTGAGAGCCCTCTTCCTGGTTCACAGACGCCTGTCTCCTCATTGTGTCCTTACAAGGCGGAGGGAGGGAGGAAGCTCTCTGAGGTCTCTTTTCTGAGGGCGCTGATCCCATTCATGACAGCACCACCCTCACGACCTCTGCACCTCCAAACATCACATCATGGGTTAGGATCTCACGCAGGGATTTTGGGGAAACACAGACATTTACTCCATAACACACACCATTTGGCAGCTTGGTTTTTTCCCTCCCTTTTTTCCTTTCATTTCATGTATTGTCGACATCTGTCTATTTCAGCACTTGTAAATCTCTTATTTCTGACAGCTGTGCACCACTTAGCTGCCAGAATTTCTTTAACCAGCGCCTATTGATGAGCATTTAGGCTCCTTCCAGCTTAATGCTCTTACGAACGAGTGGTCGTGTGAGGAAGGGCTTTCAGTGCAGCGTGGGTCGAGATGCTGGAAAGCTGGGAGCTGCTGAACGTTCACCTGGAATGTATGTTTAAATTACAAATCAAGGGGCTCCCAGTGGAGTCCCGGGAGCTGGTCACGGCAGACACACCGACCTGAAAGTAACGTTTGCAACTCACTTTAACATGAAAAGGGAAGATTCGGAGTTGTGTATGTGGTGTGACTTTTTAAAATTAAAAAGCGACCCTGAGCCTTTTGGTTTTTCCTCTGAAGCGAGGCGGTGGGCAGAGCCCCAGCCTTCCTCGACAGTGGGAGATGCAGGGGTCGGGGCGAGGAGGAAGCTAACGGCCATGTTTATTTTTTTCAGTCCCCGGCTTGTACCTCGTATCAAATGACTCCACAAGGGCACAGGGCCCCTCCCAAGATCAACCCAGATAACTACGGGATGGATCTGAATAGCGATGACTCCACCGATGATGAGGCCCACCCCCGGAAACCCATCCCCTCCTGGGCCAGAGGTAAGCAGGGCCTGGAGCTCCCCGGAGACCTGGGTCCTCACCTGTGACTTCTGGGGCCCCGGAGGGAATGGCTCAGCTGCCGTGGATGTCGGGAGCCTGTTGTGCCCGTGGGCCGGTAGCTCGATGCATGGGCCTGAGAAGCCTACGTCGGGCCTTGGGATGCGCCCAGGGAAGGGTGGGCGCCCTGTGGCCGGTGGGCCCATCTTTGGACCAGATGATGATGTTGGACGTCCTTGTTCTCAACAGACTTATTAAATTGCGGCTGGCTCTGGGCACAATGGTGCTAGGCGTTCCAGCCTGGGTGCTAGTCCCCTCCTTGGAGTTCTGCCCAGCAGGCCAGATGAGACTTGGACCCAAATAAGTAGCATGGGGTGGGCACAGAGCTAAGAGTAGTAATGGGGCGGTAAGACTGGTACGTGGGGGTTCCAGCCAGCTGGGGAAGGCAGGAGAGCCCTGAGGGAGGGGCGGGCACTTGAGCGGGATTTGACCTTGGAGTTTACGGGGCCCGACTCCAGGCCCCAGCATTTAAACAGGAGTGTGGGTGAGCATGACTGTGCAGCCAGTGCATACTGTGGGTGCTTTACTGTATGCAAGGCCGGGGGTCAGGCCGGGGTGCAGTCTCACTCCCCAGGGGTCAGCACTCTACAGAAGACAACTTGCCCTTGGTTGTTGAACCCCACAGTAACAAGGATCAGACTGAGTCTCCTTAACTGTCAGCATCAAGTCATTTGGTAGGTGGCAGCATGCAGGGATCAGTGTGGCCAGCCAGCCAGATGACCAGGAAAGCCACCGAACCATGCTTAAACTCTCTTAAGCTCGTTCTCTCTCAGTTTTCTCATCTGTGAAATGGGCGTGATACTAGGACCCAGCTGAGAAGGGCTGTTAGCATGCAGGGGGCCTAGTGCAGAGCAAGCTGGGCCCCGCCTTCTGATCCTCTGGGTCCTCAGCCTTGTTGGCAGGGCCGTGTTTTGCCCACAGCCTCATCCCGGAGGCCCCCCTCAGTCTGCACCCTCCACTTCAGGGCCTGTGGGGTGACGAGATAAATAGTCAGCCAAGGCAATCGAGGACAGCATCATATGCTGAAGTTCTGGAGCTAGACTTGTGTCCCAACTCTGGCCCTGCCAGTTATGAGCCACGTGCCTTTGGGCAGATTCGCCATTATAAAATGGGTGAATAAAAGACCTGGCTCCCAGGTGGGTGTGGGGATAACGAGGTCGGGCCGTGAGTGCCTCACCCGTGAGCTCCTGAGCACCTGTGTTCAGGCTAAGCGTCCAAAAGATGGCAGTGGGAACATGCAGTGAGAACGATATCGGTGTTTGATGGGGGGGAGGGGCCGGTAGGGGGGACCTCAGAGGAGCTGACATGGCAGGAGGTGCCGGCCCGCTGGCGTGGAGAGGGTGACGAGGGCTCTGTCAGTGGGGTGGGGGCGTGAGGAATTCCCCCAAGGCAGCGACCGGCCCTGTGTCCCTGCAGGCACACAGCTCAGCCAGGCCATCATCCACCAGTACTACCACCCCCCGAACCTTCTCGAGCTCTTCGGAACCATCCTCCAGCTGGATTTGGAAGACATCTTCAAGAAGAGCAAGCCGCGCTACCACAAGCGCACGAGCTCTGCCGTCTGGAACTCGCCACCCCTGCAGGGCACCAGGGTCCCCGGCAGCCTCGCCTACAGCCTGAAGAAGCACTGAGGCAGCCCCTGTCTGTGTCTGTCTGTCCGTCACTCTGTCGATCTGGTGCCCTCCTGCCTGGTATTCTGTCACTGGGGGTTTGGTCGCATGTATGTCAACGTTCTCTGTGCTGCAGATGGAAGGTGGCCCGGGCTTGTTAGGAGGCTGTGCCTGGCGGGTGTCAGGGGAAGTGCCAAGCCTGCCCTGCCTGGCCCACAGGCAGCACTTTGTAAATAGATTGTTATAATTCAGCTGAATTTTATCCTCTAGTGTTTGAGAGCTAGATAAATAAAGTCTGTTCCTTCAAGCCTGCTGTGGGTGTTGTGGAGACTGGCGGCCTCGGCAGAATACCCTGGACCCGGGCCCTGCAGCTGTCTGTCTCGGGCCACCAGATGGGCTGGAGGAGCAAGGTACCGTTCCCTCTCCTGGGGTGTGCTCCGAGGTCCCCTGGGTCCCACCCCCAGAGATGCCAATGCGGTGAGTGATTCTCATGCCATCCCTGGGCAACCCTGAGGAACACTTGAGCTACTCAAGATAGCACAGGCAAAGATACTTCCTGTTTTTCTGGGGTGCTCCCTATTTGTAAAAGGAAGGCTTGTTCAATGGGAGAGACCTGGAGTGAGGTCAGGAGAACTGGGCTTTTGACACAGTTCTGCCACTTAAAGACAGTCCCTCAGTACCTCCAGGCCCCAGGCTCCACCCTTGCCATATGGATGGTGACAGTGGACGAGCTGCAAAGTAGAAAGGGGCTGATGAGAAAGATATCTCTTGAAACTACCTTCGGACCAGTGCCTGCAAGCAGTGGACACGTTTCTCCAACAAAACCAGGCAGCTGCTAATTAAATGCTTAGCTGGCTGTTCTGTATTGGTGTTGCCCAATAGCTGCCAGCTGTGTTCTAATGGTGTGATGACCGGTTCCTTAATCCTCTGCTGCTCCAACCCCTGGACGTGTCAGTGGGCCAAATCAAGCCGCAGCCAGTTTCTGTAAAGTTTTTTTGGAACCCACCCAATAGAAATGCATGCCTGTTGCCTCCAGCTGCTCTGCTGAGGGCAGTTAAGAAGCTGTAACAGAGGCCATATAGCCCACAAAGCTGAAAATATTTACTGTGACCCTTTACAGGAAAAGTTTGACTCCTGCTTTAGAACAAAATAAAGGCTAAATTCAAGAGGTTTTTTTTTTTTTTTTTTTAATGAGGAAATAGTGAACATACACAGGAAGCTGAAGGAAAAACTTAACGGTCCCTTCAAACACTGCACAATTGAAATTTGTTCCATGTGTGCTCTCACTAGAAAACTGTTGAGTCAACTGGCGATTGTGTCTTTGCTTAAAGTTACAAAGTCAAAATAGTACTTCTTGTAAGCATTTTAGGTCTCGTGTTTGAGAAAAAAGTAGTTACTCGGCAAAAAGGTAGTTCCAGTTGCTCTGCGTCTTCATCGACACTTGGTATTGTCAATATTTCTTAGCCGCCCCAACAGACGTAGAGCGAATCTCATCGTGGTTTTAAGTTCCATTTCCCTGATGGCTCATGTCGGTGAACATCTTTTCATGTGCTTATCTGCCATCTTCGAGGAAGTGTCCGTTCGGATCTTTTCATTTTTAAATTGCATCGTTTTCTTACCATTGAGTTTAGAATCTTTGTGTTACGGGTACAAATCCATCGTCAGTTATGTGCTTTGCACGCTCCTAGTCTGCGGCGTGGCTCTGCGTTCACCTAACAGTGTTTCTCGTAGAGCAGGTATGTTCATTTTGGTGAAATCCACCTTATCAATTTTATTTTTCTTTTTTGGGTTGTGCGTTTTGGTGTCATGTCTAAAATCTTTGTCTAGCCTCAATTCTTAAAGATTTTCTCCTATATTTTTTTCCTAAATGTTTTATAGTTTAACTTATTACATTTAGATTTATGATCTATTTGAAGTTAATTTTTTTTAAGTGTGTGGTCTTTTTTTTGTTTTTGGGGAGGCATATGGGTGGATGTCCCCGACTGTTGCAAGACCATTTATTGAAAAGAGTATTCTTTTTCCACTGAATTTCTTTTGTATATTCGTCAAGAATCAATTAGCCATATTAGTTTGGGTTTATTTCTGGACTTTGTATTCTCTTCCATTGATCTATGAATCTCTTTTACCACGACCACGTGGACAAGATTACCGAAGCCTTTCGCACAGGTCTTAAAAATCTAGTAATGTGATTTCTACAACTTTATTCTTTTCAAAATTATTTTGGCTTTTCTATCAATTATAGAATCAGATTATCTGTACAAAAGCCCTGCTGGGATTTGGTTGGAATTACATCAAATCTATAGATAAGTTTGGGGAGAATTCACTTATTTATGATGGCGAGTCTTCTAAACCATGAACCTGACATGTCTCTCCGTTTATTTACATCCTTGGTTTGTTTCATCAGCATTGTGTAGTTTCAGGATGCAGATCTTGTACAAGTTTTGTTAGATTTAGAGCTAAGTATTTATTTTCTTGGAGCTATTATGAGTGGTATTGTTTTTCTAATTTTGGTTTCTACTTTTCCATTGCTGGTATACAAAACTACAGTTGATTTTTGTGCGTTGGCCTTGAATCTTGTGATGCAACAAAAGCAGTACTCAGAGGAAAAGTTATAGCCCTAAAATGCCTATTAGAAAAAAACGTCTCAAATCAGTGACCCCAACTTCCACTTTAAGAAACCAGAAGAGCCCATGAAAGTATAAGCAGAAGAAGGGACATAACAAAGGTAGAGCAGAAATCAGTGACAATAGAGAGAGAAAAATAATAGAGAAAATTAAACCAAAAACTGGTTCTTCGAGAAGCTCAAAAACAATTCGTACACCTCTGTCTAGACCGATCGGGAGAAAAAGAAATGACCAGTGTCGAGAATGAGAGGTAACACCACAACAGAGTCTACAGATGTTAATATAACAAAAAGAATGTTATGCACAACTTATGGCACTAAATTTGACAATTTAGATGAATGAGCACAAATTTCCTGGAAGATACAAAATAGTTTACACAAGAAAAAAAATGAAAAACTTCAATAGTCCTATTTATGAAAGAAATTGAATTTATAGTTTAAAATCTCACAAAGAAAACTCTAGGTTTAGATCACTTTAGTGGTAAATGTCAGCACATGTTCAAGGAATAAATGATCCCAATTCTACACAACATCTCACAGGAACTTGAGGAGGAAAAAATACTTTCTCACTCCATCTATGAGACCAACATTAGACTCCCCAAACCAAAGATATTGTAAGAAAGGAGAATTAGACAATTATTCATCAAGAACAACATAAAAATTCTTAACAAAGTTTTAGCAAATCAAATCTCTAACAAGTGATCCTATATAAAAAAGGGTAATACGTGTTAGCCGAATAGAATTTATCCCAATAATGTAAAGTAGTTTTAATATTTGAAAGTCAACTAATGTAACTCACCGTATTAATACAGGAGGAAAGCCGTGTGATTAATAGATGCTGAAAGTACATTTGACAATTTAACACTAATTCATGATTAAAGCTCTAAGAGTTTAAAGGGAATTTCCTTGGTTGATATAGCACATCTATGAAAAAATCTCCAGCAAACGTGATAGGTGTCTGGATGCATTTCTCCTACTAACAGGTCCAATGCAAGGATATCCACTGTCATTGCTTTTGAACTTTTTATGGGAAGTTCTTGCTAGTGCAGTAGGGGGGGAAAAAAGGCACCGAAAAGGAGGAATTAAACCTATATTCAGAAATGACTTATAGAAAATTAGATAGTGTCTGCCAAAGGATTAGAACGTGAGTTTAGCATGGTTGCAGGATATAAGATTAATATATAAAACTCAATCGTATGTCTATATACTTGCCTTGCAGGATCAGAAATTGAAATTTAAAAACAATGCAATTTATAATGTCCAAAACTATCAATATCTTAGGAACAAATTTGATAAACGATGTGAAAGACCTGTAGGAAAAAAACTATCAAACATTGCTGAGAGAAATTACCGAAGACCTAAAAGGGACATACATAGTATTTATGGATTGGAAATAATATTCTTATGATGTCAGTTTCCTCCAGATTGATACTATAGATTTAATGCAATGCAATCTTAACTAAAGTCCAACTAGGCTTTTTTTTTTTTTTTTTTTGTAAATTTATGAAAAATCTGGTTTCGAAATTTATATTTAACTGCAAAGGACCTATAATAGCCAAAACAATTTTGAAAAATAACAAATTTGGAGGGGCAACACTACATAACTTCAAAACTTAATACAAAGCTACAGTAATTAGGGTGGTACGATGTTGATGTAAACAGACAAATGGGTTCATGGAACTATATGGAATCCGGAAATAGAACTAGGTATATATGGTCACTTGGCTTTTCACATAGGTACAAAGACAATTTAGTGTGGGAAGGATAATTTTTCAACAAATTGTCTTGAAACAATTGGATATATTAAAGAATCTCCAACACCACCATATATCAGATTTAATTCATGATGGATCATAGTCCCAAATGTAAAAGCTAAAGATATAGAACTCCTAGGGGAAAAAAAAAAGATCAAAGTCTTAGTGTCTTTATGTTTGGCACAGATTTCTTACACATGTCATAAAAAGTGTGAACTATAAAAGGAAAAGTCAATCAAAATTTAAAACTTTTTGCTCTTTAAACGTCAGTTATTCAGCACTAAAATGATTCATCTTTCACACATACTACTGATTTTCCCTAGAGAGTCAACAAAGGTGGGGTTCTGGTTCCTGCTCCTCCTTTCCAGGGAAGGGACACAAAAGATGAATGGCATAAGGAACCCCTAAATACAATTCGAGGTCACTTCTAAAGAGGATTCCCGCACACGGGTTCAAGGAACCCAGGCATCGGGGTGGAAGGACCTGGCCACAAGCACCCCACTTCCTGACGCTTTCACTCAGAATCGTCCACGCCTCCCACGTGCTTCCATAGAGCACTGTGCTCCTGGTTGAGGACAGGCAGAGGATGAGTCCAGCAGGCACGTCCGCTGCTGGGACCCTGACGGCTCAGAAGGCGTGGTCCTCCTGATGGACCAGTGAAATCGAAGATCTGTTTCTCAAGTTAGCACTCGACTTGATTTGAAATCTCTTTTGATGCACGAGATTAGAATAGGAAGTTAGTGGCGGGGGAGGTAAGTTTTCCTCTGGGCGCTGAAAACCCCTGATCTCTTTCACAGTTGTCACCATGCTACGAACCTTTCTCTCTCAACTGCCCTATGGAAACCAGCACAGCAGGCATCACTTTACGCTAAAGATGCACCCTAACCAAATTTCGTGGTTGGTTCTTTCGTATGTATTAATATGTTCCAG